AAGGTAGATTCTTAGATGTTTCAGCTGGGTGGCCTGGTACAATGAGGCCTGAAAATGTTTTAAGAAAATCTAAGCTTTATTTGGGTGTTGAGGAATCAAAGGAATACTTAAATGGTCCATCTTTTGAGCTAAATGATGAGAATTCAATACCTCAGTACATTCTTGGTGATTCTTGTTTCCCACTTTTACCATGGCTGTTAACGCCTTACAGCGGATCGAACGAGGAAGATGAGAGGAGTTCTGAGGAAATGGCGTTTAATTCGGTGCATAGTAAAGGAATGCAGTTGGTGGGGACAGCTTTTGGGAGAGTGAGGGCAAAGTGGAAGATTTTGGCTAAGAAATGGAATGAGCAGTGTGTTGAGGCATTTCCATTTGTAATTGTGACATGCTGTTTGCTGCACAATTTTCTTATCAAGTGTAGTGAAGCAGTGACAGATGAAACCGTGGAGTATCCGAGGAGTGAAGAGTTTCCGGTGTTTGATGGAGAGGTTGATGAAAGTGGGAAGAAGATTAGGGATGCGCTTGCCTCACACCTATTTAGGGTAAGTCAGAGGGAATAAATTCTGGCCTTATTTTTTTATTCTGCTTATAATCTTATAGTGGTATGTGTATATTGGTAGTGTGTTAAGTTGGCCTGGATAGAAATTTTGTAGCCTTTTGCCTAGTTTTGACATCTCCATTCTCCTTGGTTTCATGTAGAATTATATGGAATATAAAGTAACATTTAGCTGCTGATTCGGTATTTGAAGTTTTGTTGTTGTTCCTTGATGATCAGTATGCTAAATCAATGGCCAGAAATGGGCTTGTAATTACATGGAATTTAAGGAAGGAAAGCCTTCCCACATAAGTAAAGGCAAGATAGGAGCATAGCCCAAACAAGTTTTATCTTAATGACCCGTTCAAATCACCAAAAAAACAAAGTCGAAAAGAGCCAATATTGGGCTCCTAGTTAAGGGGGTTTGGAGAGTGGGATCACCATATCATAAAAAGAATAATTTTATGGTAATGATTTCAATGACAGAAGAAAGCTATCTCACATTATTCATGTTTAGTAGAATGCCAGTAGAAATGCAACTTAAAATACCTGCTGCTAAGTAGGGTGATTGAAATAAAAACGACTGTAACCACCAAGAAAAGGTCTCTTGTGAGAATATAAAGCTTAACAAAACGACGGCAGTTGATGATTTTCTCCTTCAGGTTTAAGTCTCTCCCTTCACAACTCCTTTACTGTGGCACGATGGGTGGATTCCTCATTTACTTTATTCTCTTGCTTGTTACATATTTGGTTCCTTTTCTTTCTGAATAAAATGTGCTGATTATATTCATTATAGTAGTGTCAAAACTAACTTCTTTACTTTTGTCCTTCCAAAATTGTGATTATGGGGAAATATTGATGTAAAACCTTTGTAAATGAGGTCATGTACAACAAATCAAGGTGTTCGAATCCCACATCAGTCAAGTGCATGGGCTGTAACATCTTTATATGGTCTTGGGCAATTCTCGCTGCTTGAGCTATCTCTTGGGATTGAGTTAAGCGCAAGCCACTAGGTTCATTTTTTTAACATGGTATTAGAGCCAAAATTGGCAAGTACTTTGACAACTGTGTTCTCTCTAGATGTTCTCTCTCTCTCTCTCTCTCTCTCTCAACTTAGTCAGCGAGCTGCTTGGGCTTCTCTCTCTCAATTCAGCTTATTGAGTCATTAACTTTGCTCCAGACCAAAAAATAAAAAAAACTTTACTCCAGTAATCCTCTACCTGTTGAGCCTACTGTCTGCATGTGTTTCAAGCCCTCTTCTTAATCTGTGAGCATATCATCTGTGTGTGTGTGTATATATAACTACTCCCGTCTTGTCTTCTTAGGCCAATCCCACTTGCTCAAATAAAACATAAGAGAAAAACTGATCTAAGAAAACATAAGAGAAAATTTAAAAGCAAAAAAAAATTTAAAAAAATAGAAAGAGATTCAAATTCACGTGTAAGCTCTAGAACAGAGTTACAAATGCGGGAGCGTATTAGAGAATATATCACCTGTCTCTCATAGGTTATGAGGATTTCCAAAGGTTCTTAACAAATGAGGGCTAAAGTTCGTGTTTTTATAATGGCACGAGAGCTATAATTCTAGTGCTAGATTTATCCTTGATGTTGGGCCACCCATGTTATGATAGTTCACACTCCTGATTTGTGTGGAGTATGTCAGAATCCTACATTGGTTAATTGTATAAGCTGTAATATCTGTATACAGTCTTACATAATCTCACCTCTTGAGGTAACTTTTGGCGCTGATTTAGATCCAAGATCTATTTTCTTGAAACACGGTAAAAGTAAATCTGTTAAAACTGGATGAACTTAATCAGTGCATGTAGATGATATACAGAACTATAGAACTCAAAATGATGCTTTATAATCCTACTCATCTCATAGACAGTATCTTCTCCAAGTACTCGTTTATCTATCTTCAGACCAAATTTTGTTCTCTCACAGCTCCTTCTCATTAGGTAAATTTCTCCTGGAATATTGTGTATAAGCTTCTTGTCAATTTGATGGTTTTGGTCTAATCTGCTAAGGGGTCGTTTGGTTTGAAGACAAGTTATGCTGGGATAAGTTATACCGGGATTAGTTATATTATGATTAGTTATCCTGGTATTATTTATTTCTTATTGACTGTTTGGTATGTTGTATTAAGCCTAGGTTATCCTGGGATTACTATTCCACCGTATAATCCCACCGTCTGGGAGGTGTAAGTTATCCCGATACTGGTTTTAATCCTGGGATAACTTATCCAGAAATAGTAACCAAACAAGGGACAAAGTGGTACTAACTTTTTATTGCAAGATTATTTTTGCTTATTCATCATACTAAACGAACCCTTAGTGTTTGAAAAAGTGGTGGGCGGGTTCAGGTATCAGCGTATTGAATCACTTGTAGACAATAACTTTCCAATTCCTTCACTCAGCAATTCCTGATTGCTGCCATTTTAATATAGGTAGGTAAGCTTTAATTCAAACAAAAGTAGCACTAAGATTGTGCCAAGAATTACAATTGGATCTTTACAAAAGCACAAGTTTCAGTTAGGAACCTAGCGGAAAGACAATTTTTGTCGGTACTAATCTGCACGGGAGCTGAGAAAATCTAGAAAACTATCTTTTTATCTTGTACATTCTGCATTTTGCAACAAAAGGCTAAGAGAGAGAGAGAAACAGTTGAGCTTCAGCTTGTGTATGCTCTTCCTTTTGCCTTCAAAACATATGAGATTTCGTTCTTTCAAAATATATGCTTTGCTGGTATGGTTGCCAAAAGCTTCTTCTTGCCCTTTCCCCCTCCTTTCGCTGTCCGGCACTATGTTGCACAGACTCTCCAAAATAGCCGCCGCATTCGTGTCGGATCCTCCTAAAATATACTACTTTTGGAAGATCCGACACGCACTCATTGACATTTTCAGAGAGTCCGAGTAACATAGGACTCGTGCAGAGGAGTTTGATTGTTCTTAGCATAGTTCACTTGATTGATATGAATAAACAGATTTCAAAGCTGAGACAATATTCAGCAGTGTAGAAAGAGATGGTTTGCATCTTCAGTTGCGCTGCCCGTAATTCCCTAGAAACCAGAAAGTTCAATGGCAGTTAACTATAGACCGTATTTCCTTTATATGGCGAATAAGAGTACTAAGAGAAAGAAGCAAGTAAAAATATTGATTTTGTTCAGAAGTTATACTCCTTTCACCCTGCTAAAGCAATAATCCTCCTCTTAATTATCTCCTCAAATTGGTTCAATTGAAAATGCTTCTGACCAAGTTACTGATAACCTTGTATAAGCAAGATCACCCTGCTTTAAATAAGAAATGTTTTGATCATTCATGCGGCTTTTGGATGCCGCACTTATTCATTCTCCTGTTTAGGCTGCGTATGATAGACCCTCGTAGTCCGACCCTTCCCGGACCCCGTGCATAGCGGGAGCTTAGTGCACCAGGCTGCCCTTTTTTATATATTTATTTATATATTTTTGTCATTTTGAAAAGTAATACCACTTTTCAGTATACTTGATGAATGATAGACCAAGGAAAAATGTTACTTTAGTTGCCAGTTTACGTATTGAAGTTTTGGAGTTGGTCATGCGTTTTTTTTTTATCCATTGCGAAAGAGTAAAAAAAAAATGTACTAGTTTTTACCCGTAGCGGACAACATTATACCATATTAAGAGTATAAATAGCAAAAGCTCCCGATCTTTGCTTGCCTCTTCCCATATTAAAGGATCTTCTTTATGTCTATGACCTTCATTTGCCAAAAAGTCTGCACATTTGTGTTCCACTCTCTCCATATGTGTGTGATATTCTCTTTGACTTTGTTGGCTTCAAGCAAGTATTTGCAATTTTCAAGAATAGCCCAAAGAGGGTGTTACTCATGACATACTTACTATCAGAGGCGAAGTCAGAGTGCTAGTTGCGGTTCGGCTGAACCAGTAGCTTTTGTTCAAATTTTGAATTTGTTTTTAAAAACTCATTGATTATATATAATTTTCTAATGCAGATCCTAGTAACTTATTAGAATCCCAAATGCACAAGCTTGTATGTCATTGTTTTTGCTAAGTTTGACAACAAATAGGCAGTTCGTTTCACTTATAATTCTTCATGTCCCATTTCTTTGGCTAATTTTAGTTGTCGCTTGATGCAATTGTGNAATTTCTTTAATTACCAAAACAATCTAACAAATTAAAAAGCAAAAATTGTGCACTCAAGATATTGCAGAAATGTATTTCATATGTGAGCACAAGTTTAGAACTAGAGCAAGGTAAATCAGAAACTTATCACGAATTTGACTGCAAATATATATAATTATGTAAATTAAAGCAGGAGGTCTGGTTAAATCAAGGATGGATTTAGTAAGTTCAAATGAGTCTTCCTGTATTCAGATGGAACTATGCAAACAAAATAAAAAAAAATAAAAAACATAGTATGTAATAGTAAATCATACCAACTGACGTCTGAACCCACTAACTCTAAATGATGGTATACTTGCCCTCTCCATCCACTCCCTGCTTAATAGCTCGAGCAGGGAGTTGAGAGAGAGGGCGAGGACTATCAGAACCCTCATAAAGAGTCAAGTCGAGACCTAAGGCCACCTCTTTGGAAGCCGCGCTTACCACTCGAATGGCCAGTCGGCTAAGCTTGGTTTTTTCCATTTGAACATGAAAGTAGTCATTTGGTCAATCAGAGGTGTCGATTTCAACCAAGAATTATACAGAAGGGTGGTCATTTCCTCCTAGTTGTGTCTATAAAATTGTTGACTTCTTTTAGTTCACTTTGCCAAACAAAACTCAGTATGAAATGTGCATTCTTTACTGGAATTTTGCTCTTCTGGACATCCTATTAACGTAGGCAGCACCTATATATCAAAGAAAATCATAGTAAGTTATAGAGAATATGCTAATGTATATAAGCCAAGCAACAACATAAAGAAAATGCGAGGACAGAAATATTATCAACCGCAACAATAATACCAGTGTAATCCTACAAGTAGGGTCTGAGAAGCTAATGTATAAGCAGAACTTATCCCTTCCTTGAGAAAGGTAGAGAGACTGTTTTTGATAAACCTTCAGCTCAAGGAAAAATGAAAAAGAAGAAGCTGTAGTAATAAGCAGTAACACCAGTAAGATAACCGTAATATTACTTGTTGAGTATCCTACATCAGCTAAGGGATGGGGGACTTCGTCTCGACTTGGGCAATCCTTGCCTCAAGAGCTAGCTTTTGGGGTTAAGTTAGGTCCAATGCCCATATCTGTATCATGTTATTAGAGCCGGACCCATCCCAGTTCTTTGTTTCACCGATGTTGGCCCCCACATTAAATTGTCCGCGCTCCAGTTGGCAGGTCTGAGCATGCGGGGAGGGGGGAGGGAGGGTGTTGAGTCTCCCACATCGGCTAACGGATGGAGGAATTAGTCTCTTTATATGGCTTAGATAATAATCTTCACCTCAAAAACTAGCTTTTGGGGTTGAGTTAGGCCTAATGTCCATATCTTTATCATTATTGTTTCTGACAGTAATATTATCCCTTGCAATGAAAAGAAAAGATAAAAAAAAAAAAAGAAATTACCTGGAGTAGTTTGCTATTTGTACTTGTAAGTATGGACATGATCGCTGGCTGCCCGAAACCCAAGGACATTAAATCATCTATGAATGATAATTTCTCTTGGATCTTCATAAATAAGGATGATCCCATTCTGCAATATTATTGTCAATAACATTCATATATAACTTAAACCAAATTCAACAAGTAATGTATAAGTCAAGAGGAAAGAAAAAAAAAAAGAACGAAAACTAGCTCTTACCTGCCTGCAAGTTATTACCAATATCCGGCCTTCAGAATAGTTGAACTTTTGAACAAAGTGATAGAGGATTGGTGAACCAAGTAGCATCCACAACTCCAAAGATTGTTCTTATTGTGCTCGGGAAGTAAAAATCGAGTGTGGCTCTTTCAAGTGTAGAAGGATCCATAGATAACAAGGGCATTGTGTCACCCCTAAAATAGAATTCTGTTATATTTGGAGCTTGAATCTTGACTTTTTCTAGATTCTTGCACCGTGCTAAGGTCAACTCTTGAGTTTTTCACTCACGATATCAATATTTTTCAGGCTATCGCAAAATATTGATTCCAATTCTGAAATGTTTGAGTATTTAGCGAACTGATGTTGAAGTTGTTGGTCTGTGATGTTGGTAGTTCTCAGTTTGAGTATTTGTAAGTTATTATAAGCATCCACATTACCAATTTCCCAATTCTCCTCTCCATATTCAAAGCTTCGAAGATTTGGAGCCTGGACTCTTCTGAGATAGACTTCATCTAAATAAAGATATTTATGATTACAGAATCTTATGATGTTGTTTGTGGTGATAATAGTATCAAATTCAAACTTGCAATTACTTAGTGTCAGATCTATCAGCCCTTTAGCAGTATAAATTGCATCAGGTAAACTATAGTAATTACCAGAAAAATGCAGTTGCAGTACCTTGACGTTAAGTTTAACCGCTAAATCAATCCATCCATCGATACGAGGAGTCAATTTTGGATTATGATGAGTATATGTTGAAACCGAAAAGTGCAAAGCTTTTCGTTAAATCAATTAATAAAGAAACGAAGGGTAAATCTTAGCCAAATATAATTAACTCTAGATCTAAACATATTGAATATGAGAATCGAAAGAGACCGAGCTTATATAACATTTCTTAAGATGATTAACAGACATCAAATGTAAATGATAAGCTTACATCTTTGATATATTGTTCCGTACTTGTAAGAGCAAAGAAGGAAAAGAGGGAAAGCTGTTGATAACTATGAGATCTATCTTTATTGATCCAACGATAATGATTACAAAAGGTTATAACTGAAATCCGGGCTTTTGGTTTNAACCAGCGTACTTTCTCATGAATGTACTCCTCTTTACTCGCCCAAGCATTACGACATGTGTTCTGCCGTGTAAGCCTTATGATGGCTCGATCTCGGCAATGGCCGAGACTAGGGGTGTCAATGGTTCGGTTCGGCCGGTTATTTTATAAAATTTGTACCATACCAATTTTTCGGTTATTCTATTATGTATAACCAAAATTAGACTTTTCGAAACCGTCCCAATCATGTCGGTTTCTCTTCGGTATTGGTACGGTTCGGTTAATTTTTGGTATTTTTTTAATATCATATAAAAATTACCAGTAGAAGTAGAATTGCAATATCATACGTTCTTTTATAGGACTTAGCAAAACTCTCTAGACATTTTTATTGTTTAAAGGGTGATGAATTTAAAAAAAATGGCTAGAGTATAGATCCATTAACTATTCTACAACAGCGTAAAAGAAATCAAACAAAGGCAAAGAAAATATTAATCACACGAGTTGAAAGATATACCAAGCTGGGACTCAAGAATAAAGTCAATCGAAGATTAAATATTCAAAAAGATAAATCTAAATTATATGAAAGAAAACATATTCAATACATTGTAGTTTGCTACTCATATTCGCTAGAATACTTTGTGTCTTGCTAATAAAGATACTTGAAATAACTTAGTTTAAGTAGAAGTAGCATAATAGGTTTTAGGAATTAGTATTTTGAGTTTAATTACTTGTTGGCTTGTAATAGTTTTCATAATTCCAAGGCTCAAAGAAAATTTAATGCATTATTAATTTTAAACTTACTAAATAAATATAATTTCTACATGTAAAATTTATTCGGTATGGTTCAGTATTTTTTCGGTTTATTTTTATAAAATAAAAAACCTACCCTAATTATCGGTGCGGTTATATATTCATATAAAAACCTACGGTTTCTTAAAAAGAAACCTAAAAATCGGTTCGATGCGGTATGGTTCGGTCGGTTTTCGAATATCCATTGACACCCCTAGCCGAGACACTCGTTGCTATTACGCCTTGTGGGCACGACTATGGCTTGGTTGACCCCTTACCATTCCTTTTAATGATAACCATCTTGTGGTCAGATTTTGACCCATACAGTTAGTCCCTCCGCCCGTCGGGGTCACCTTTTGGCGAGCTCGATGGGCAGTTTCTGTTGATTCAAAAGTTAGGAGAAATCCGAACATTATGCAAGGAACGAGGTCCTTATGGCGAGGTGGGGCGTGACGTTTCAAGGATTTCATTGGACCGTTATGTCAGTTCAGAGTTAGATCTTTACATCGATTCAGGGTACCATGAATACCTTTTATGCATCATTATGACACACGTTTCCCAGGCACCGTATCGTTTCCCGTGCCCTTTGAGATTTTTTTTTGATTGGCGGCTCTTGGGTTTCCCGCTCAAGACATGTATGTCCCTATAAATAGGGGGAATCCCTCATTTGATTGTTGTGCTTTTCAATTTATCTGAGAAAGAACTTTGCAAACTTCCTCCTTCTCTAGTCTTTCATATTTCTGCTTTCGCTAGAATTCGACGTGACCATTATCTCTTTTCCTTCATCGTTCTTGTTTATTTCGATCAAGGAAGATAGATGGCTAGTACTTTTTCCCAATCCGATAGAGCTGTTGGTGCTCCGGTGCCGGAAAGTGATGTATCCCTATTCGAAGAGGGAGTGGAGGTGGTGGAAGATGAGGGATTTCCGACGGTGGACGAGATAGTTCCTCGTCCGGGGAAGGCGATGACTGATTTTTATAGCCCTTCTAGAAATGAACCGGAACCCGTTCCTTACACTATGGATGAGGCGGCGATCACGGCGCTTAAAGCTAAGTGGGGAATCCCTGCTCATATTGAAATGGTGTCGGCGGGGAAGGACATTGTGCATTTGCACCGCCCGGGCTACTGTGCGTTTTACGCGTACCCCTTCGTCATCGGATACACACTCCCCTTCATTCTCTGGTGGTGGATTTCTGCCGCTTCTACGAAATGTGTAAAGCTCAACTCTCTCCGTACGCGTACAAGCTCTTTCATATGCTCATCAAGTATGCGGAGCTGGCCAGCCAAAGAATTTCCTTGGGGCACATGCTCCACATCTTCGCCCCTCATTTTCTTCAGGATATGATGATTCATATGCGCCATCGAGGAACCAAAGGCTTGGTGGTGAAGATGGACGATAAGGCCAATCGCTGCTTTTGGGAAAACTACTCCTATGTGCGGACAGAGCACCTTGTGGCAAACTCAGCAGGGTTTCCAGAGACGTAGAACTTTGCTCGTAAGTTTTTCTTTGTTTACTTTTGTGATTTTTTCTCAAGATGGTCGTCGAATCGTCTTCCTTTTATAGACTTTGCTGAGGACTTGTTTAATGTTTTTATAGCCGAGAGACTACCTCCCCCGTTAGTTGTCGATATTCGCGAGTGGGTGAGCGCAATTCTCCCCTACATGGTGGGGATTCGTGAGTGGGCGCTCTTCTATGAGAAGTTTGGGCGCAAGCCTCTTACTGGTGAGTTAGTTTGTCGTAGTTTCAATTTGTTCCATACTTCGTAGTTTTTTTTACCTTGTCGTTGTATGATCTAATCCCTCCTCATTAGCAGGTCGGAGAGGAGTGAGGAGGACGAGGGCTCCTCCGCTCGCATTCCGTCAACCAGCGACAGCTGCCCATCCTGCGCCGAGGGCTGCTGCCCAGCCCGCACTAAGAACTACTGACCATCCTGCACCTGCGACCGAAGCTGTGCGCTTGGAAGTTACTCAGCCGGGGATTCCGACTCCCGCAGTCCGTTTAACGGGTGAATCTTCCCGCGCTAGTGGTGGGGAGGCCCCGTCGAAGAGACGAAGGGTAGTGTTGGAAGGGGTTTCTCCAGCCGAAACTTCTTCGAGGGATGTCCTTGCCCCGGCGGTGACTGAAGTCATAGGTGGTTCCAGCCCAGTCGTGGGGACGACGCCAGTTGCGAGTGTTCAAGGGGCTAATGTGGCGGAGAGACGGAGTTCCGAGGATGCCACTGCTGTTTCGGGCGGCCCTTCAACATCTCGGTGAAACTGTACCCCCTCTCCGGCCAATGAGAGGCGGAAGGGCGCCATGGTTGAGGATTATGAATTCGAGTCCGATATTGACCCAGAGGACACGAGGATGTTCGAGGAGGGCTTCACCCGAACTGTAGTAAGAGAGGGAGGGCCTTCCCGAATACTCGAGATTTTGTTTGATCTCAACCTGCTGTAAGACACGGTGGACTTTGTGCTGCAGTTCGATCTTCTGTGCTCCGCTGCTGAAAGCGGAGCTCTTCAGGACGTCAACGACTCCGAGTTGTCTCGTGGTGTGGCTGCAATGGGCCTAAGGGTGAGTTCCTTTTTTGTTTCCTTTGCTTTGCGACCTTGGTTTTCACTAACTTCTTTTTTTAGACTTACATGTTGTAGGTCGAGAGTGCTCGTAGGGCCGAGATACGGGCCGAGATTTTTCTGAAGATGGCTGAGAAGTATCTACGGTACCGTAACAGATGCCGTGAAATGTACGAGCAGCTTAGAGCGGGCGCCAGTACCCAGTCTTCCAGGGAGGAGTTGGAGAATAGGGATAAGGAACGGATGCGGTTTATTCGCAGATGCAGTGAGCTGGAGGGGCTGCTTCATGCAAAGGATGAAGAGCTTGAGGTGGGCAAGGGGGTTGCCTCGGAGTGCGAGGACCTTCAGGCAAAAGTATTGTCTCTACGAGCTGAGCTGGAGCAAAATGCTACTAAGGTCAACGCTTTGAGTGCGGAATGAACGGAGAATGTGGCCGAGCTGGAAAAGAAAGTGGCCGAGATGGAGAGAGCCGAGGACACTTGAGTGTTGGCTTTGGCGAGGGCGGCAACATTTGAGGATATTATTCGCGTCCTCAAGTTCGAGCAGGAGTTTGAGAGAGCGACGGCCACGCTAAGGGAGGCATGTCTCGAGGAGCGAATTGGTGAACTTGATCGGGACGCTTCGATCTTGGGAGACCGAGTTGCGGCCTTCGATTCTGAGAAGGCGCAGTTATTGGCTCAAGCTCTTCCTCAAGAGTCTGCTTCGGCCATCGTTCCCCAACGCCTGTATGAGATATGGGTCCATGCTGAGGTCTATTAGAATAGTTATGTGAATGTATGTAATTAGTCCTAGTCCCTTATGTAATAGGAGTAGGTTATGTGTTATGTATACATATAAATAAGGCTTATTGTAACATAGTCAAGATTAATCAATAATATTTTCTCCCGTGCATTCTCACATGGTGTCAGAGCTTTAGTGAGAAACCTATCGCTGTGCATCATTCCTACGACTTCAGAGAAGAAAGACCTTGTCGCTGTGCAATTTTTCGGTGACTTAGAAGGTTGTCCGTAAGCACATCATTTTCTATTGGTGTTGTGCAAAAAAACCAACACCACCACAGGACTCCTCAAGCTCCGGTGACTAAACCCCAGTCAACCCCACCGGAAAACACACGTCCACGCGCCCTCACGCGCCGGAAAAGGAAGAAATTTTCCGGCGAGATCTGACCCACGCGCCAGCGCGTGAGCCCTGTTCTGGCCAGATTTTGAAAAACTTCTAGTTGGATAGCCGGATCGCCTAGTAATTTCGAGTCTACCCATACCTTTTTCTTTTTGTTCCGATCACTTTGAGATTTTCCAGCAACTACACTAACTTTCCGGCAGCTACAATGATTTTTTTCTGGCAAATCTTTTTTGGACAGCTTACTCGGGAGGTTATTTCGAGTCTTTTCATTTAAGTTTAAATCAAATTGCGAAGACTTTTGTATTCTCCGGCGCAACATTATAAAGGCATTTGTATCAAAAGCCTTTAACTCACAATCCGTTGGATCCAATTCATTGGATCCAATCCAGATGGTTTCGTTACCAGATTATATTGAGTTTCTTCAGTACAAAGCACGTAAACAGACATCTTCAGGATTAGCCTCCGTTGTTCCAACAAATAATAGCATGACTTATGTCTCCCAATCTTCACCTTCTAAGTCTTAGGTCATTGA